CGTGATTATAGTAACAACAACTTCCAGTTTGTTTTTTTCCTCATTTTTTTTTTCTTTTTTGCTCTCTTTGAAGTTTCACGTTCCAGAAACGTCAGACCTCTGGGTCCTCTTTCACTCGATTGAACGAATATTATTAGTGTTATTTTACAAATCACGATTTAAGCAGATTGAGATAAAAAGAGAATGGAAAAGAACTCGTGCTCTAATGTTCATGAAAAATGTCTTTTTATCTATCAATTATTACAACGAGCATTGATACTTTAATTCTTTATTTTATCTTATCTTTGGGTATTTTACATGCTTTTACATTTTGCGTGCAGTTTTGAAAGGAAAAATATGCGCTGATTTCGAAACATCGAAGAATTGTCAGTTAGCAGAGAAATCACTCTTTATCAAATGTTAAAGAGAGACTAGATTTCAGTATTGAAGTTCTGTACGGACAGTGGACCGTTGGAACACGAGTGAAATATTCGAGAAAATTCGCTCGCTCTCCTCTGCGTCGAACCTCGCTTCGTTCACCAGCCGCAGGAAAATACAGAACCTGCGTACGATTTCGAAAGGACGAGACGCGAAGTGGTAATCGATACCTCGAAATACTTTCGAAACTTGGATCCGGAAAGCAAGAAGAGGTCTCTGGTGATCGACGAAATACGATTTATATATCATTTCTGGGAACTGCGGTTTTACGCGTATCCGGCTTGCGGACTCCACTTTCTTTTCTCTTGAAGACCCTTTAAACACAAATGCAGTAAGGTTGGTGGTAATTCAAGGGTCCGTTTCCAAAAGCTGATCAAAAGTGGTCGATTTCACTCGACCAAACGCCGGAACAAGACAATTCAACTAATTTGATGAAGAGAAACTACCCAATTGATACCAGTTACGTAGCCGATAGGTAAAGATGAGGTGTATGAAATTTCTATGGGGTGAAAGGCGTATTAAACGACTGTTACGTAAGTCTGTACAAAGTTATGTAAAATTTTGGAACATTCGAGGATCCTAGCGGAAAATCACAAGATAAAAGCTTCCACGTGGTCAAAATTTACATATAATATAAATATAAATATAATATAAATATAATAAATATAAATATAAATTTACATATGATATAATATTATATATACAATACATATAATACATATAATAAAAATAAGCATTATCAAAATTGATCCTTGAGCTATGAATGATACTATGAAATCGTGAAGAGTTTGAGGATTCGCGAAGAAAAATATAAAATTCCTATGGAAAAGTATGATACGCCGTTTATGCGAAGTCATGGGATCTTTAAAAATTCAAGAACCTCCGATACTGTTTAATGAAAAGTTACGAAACCCAGCAGACACGTGAAAATACACAAAACTGTAGAATCGCCAAGGATTTCAACATCAGCAAAGAAGCTTCTGAGATTTCCTATGGGAACGCGTGAAATATCAAAAGATTGTTACGTCAGTTTGCAAAGGGTTATAGAATCTTTAAAAATCCAAAACTCTGGGAAAAGTAGTCGCAGAATGCTACAAAGTCGCTAGCAGGAAATACGAGAGAACGAGAATTCTAAGATTCGCGAAGGAAATTATGGAATGCGTATGGAAATTTATGGAGTGCAGCCGAGTCGCTACACGGAATCACTAAGAATTGCAGAATCCCCACGGAAAGCCGCAGAAACCCTAAAATCAAAAGAATGATCGCCCAAAGTTGCGGAATCCCTACGAAAACCTAGCAAACCGCAGCGAAATCGTAATGAAAATTCCAATTCCAACGTTCGTCTGCGTTTCATCTAATACAATTGTTCCTCTGTAATTGTCGAAATACGCTAATATGTACATCCTGAGACTTAAAATGCAGCCAATTAGTCCTTACCTTGTAAATGTGTGTTATGTGAACATGGCTATGGTACCCTTAAGGCGTATTATATTAAATATATGGTTCAGTAAGTAGCAATCATCGAAAGAATTTGAAACAATTCGCACAATGTATCCAAACGAATTTCGAACGAAGATTATCGTAAGATTATTGAGAAATATTGGCTTGGCAATTAAGTGATTGCGGATTTTGTCATTAGGTGGTATTGACAAAATCCGCAATCACTTAGTTGCCAGGCCAATAGTTTCTTTAAATTGATTATGAAGTAAAACAAACGAAGTGTAATGTCACGTTTGAACACAAAGGATGTACGTTTACATAGTAAGGAGGGATGGGTCCGAGATATTTTTTCCAATTTGAAGATGCAATGGGGATAAAGGTGGTAAAAAAGGATCAATTCAATTGACTGAAGAAGAACCAGCCGAGGATGCTAAAGCGCATTGTTTTACTCGCGCTATGGTTAAAGCTATTCTGTGTGTTTTCACTTCGTAAAGTAACATTAAGTATTTTTATAGATCATTGCAGTTCACCGCAGCTTTCTACGATCGCGAGACAGGATTGTTAATATATGAACAATTAAAATCCAACGGTACAATATTGTTTGTAAAAACGCTTCGTCACATGACGAATTACAAATCACGAGAAACAATCAGAGGGAGAAGGAGGAACGAACGTTTCAAGATCCCGAACGTCGTTCCGGCATTATTTAGTATTAACGAAACTGTTGATCGAACGACGGGGCAACGGAACAAAAGGCACGATCAAACAAACACGTGCGCAAACAAGCAAGCACTGTCGACGTTCGTTAAATCAACCACGATAAACAACCGCGTCGTTATAAATAAATTTTACCAAAGAAGAGAGGGAGATGCTAAGTAACGAAGATAGGAAAAGATGAGGTGGATGATTTTGTTCTTTTCCTTGTTTGATAGAGAAGCAATGCGTATATAAAGATCACAGGCAAAAGATATGATAAGTACATTTTTGTTGATCTTTTAATTTCAATGTTACTTTGTAATATGTTCGTGTAAAGTACGCCGCTAAAAGCGGAAAAAGACAGGACAAGGGCCAAAGATGTAATTGGTGAAGTTTCGTAGAAGCTAAAGATGTAACTATTCAAACAAATGGTATTTGAACTTTTTAAAGACCGATGTCGAGTTAAACGCAACGTTTCGTTTGCAATTTCTTTTTTCAGACGGTTTACATTATTAAATTCTGTTTTTTAATGTTCGTTTAATATTTTTCTTGTCTCTATTGTTTCCACAATAAATCCTACAGATTTGTGAAATTTGAACAAATCGAAATAATTTATAACTTGGTGATAAATCTCTCTCTCTCTCTCTCTCTCTCTTTATTTGATCCTTAATGCGTCTTTGATATTTTAATATTATGACGGACAATATTTTTAAAGTTATTAAGAGAGTGGAAAGATACACTTTAGCCTTAAAATCAAAGAAAAGGACAATGTGAATTTTAAAATTGCTGCTCTGTGAAAATGAAAAATGCGTGTGTTTCTGCTCTAGTCTTTGTATGTATAGAACTGTAACAACAGTGATTTCGATAAATATGAAAACGTGAATATAAAGTTGATGAATGGGGGAAAAGAGGAGCTGGAAATCATCGAGGAACATGATGACACGGCGGAAGGTCGTGAGACGAGACATGGTTTTGCCAATGCTGGACGCTTTTTATTGCACGCTGAGATTTGCCGACGTATTAGTCGATGATATATTTTTTTACGACATGAATAGATAAGGGGCGAGCACTTTCTTTCGAAAGACATCATCGGCTGTATCAGTCGTGATAAGGCATTTAGCGAGCACGAGCGTACATGACGTTAATTGCTATTTTTCTTTTTATTCTTTACTTTCTCTTCGTCTTTTATTTGCGAGTCTTTGCTTTTCTTCCTTTTTCATTACCAATGTTCAATGTCGTATCGATTACACATGTTATTAACGACACTATACTGGAAAACGACACTATACTAAATATATGCAAGACATTGATATCATACTAATTTTTCGAGTAGTTTGATTTTCTTGATAAGCATTAGCAAATCGTGAATTTTTCTTGTGATGTGTTCAAGGGGTTGAGAACAATTTGGAGATTTTGATCAATAGGTAAAATAGTGAAGAAGCTAGTGAAGAAAGATCGAGTTTTGAGTTGAAGAAAATGAACTACGGGCGTGTGTTTAAATTTAGAATTTCGCAAATATAATAATGACTTTTTCCTTCCATGATACGCGAAACGTGATATGTCCTCTTATCTTAAGCTCTGGTTGTCTTTGTTCTGTATACTTTGTTCACTTTGTTTGCTGAATTATACGTTGTTCAAATTGTATTTAATTTCCAAATACTCATCTAACAATAACACATCGTCTATCTGATTTTAATTTAAATCTGATGAACCCTAATATCATACAGTCTTTAAAAATAATTCATTTGCTATTGATGAATTGATCTTTCTTTCTCTTTTCAAAAATTAGAAAATTGTATATATTGATATAAGAAAAGCTTTTTTACTAGAATAATAGAACTAAATAGAATTGGAAGAAATATTCTTGTCTTAGACTCGTAGATGTGTACTGTGGTTACGTTGCTCGAAACAATTGTAAGCGCAACCTGCTCAATGTTTTTCAAAATCTATTCGATAGCTAAAATAACCATATAAACTTTTCGCAAAAATTAAGAACATTAACATGATCGAAAACTATTACATATATCATACGATAGCACGACAAACTTATAACATCTACAATTCACTATTAGTTTTTCGAAACTTGACAAGTCTGAACAAACAATAATTGTTAATTAATTAAAATAAAGTAATAAAGTAGAAAACAATAAAGTGTCTTCAAAAATCCGCTACTCTACACTCTATTCTTTCTCGAACCGAGAATTATTTCTGCTCTTCAAATCGTTATTTCCATTTGGAATATCGAAACCATAAAAATTCAAATCTTTTCACAGTAAAAAATTATTCCGTCCAACATCATCGTCGAGATTTTAAAAAACATCGATCTAATGAAAGGAGCCTTCCAATTGTTTCGAGCAAACGTCAGTCAACTATTTCCACACCGTCGTCTAAAAAATATCGGAAAAAAGTAAATCTAGCTACGAAGTATCGATAAAAGAATCACTTACCTGGGAGCATTGATGATCGGTCGGCCCATTGCCCGTTGCTGGCGCTTCTCGTTGCTGGGAAGGCGCAGGTAATCTTGGTCGCCAAAGAGGAACAGATCCTTTGAAATAATCATGTCCACCGTGTGGTTGTCGGTTATAGCTGCCCGCCTCTCTCTCTTATCTTTCTCTCACTGCCGAACCACAGGCTGAACAACGCACCACGACGACGACAACGACGTCAAACGCGACGGAATATCCTCACCTAAGTCCCGCCACCTCGACACGTTCAACGCGATCTCTAACGACGATTTTCCACCGCGATCAGTTCCCTGCTGTTGTCTCTCGTCAGCAAACGAACATTTTCGCCAGCTATTCCCGCGACTCCGTGCCGATTTTCTGTCCAAACACCTAGTCGCGAGCATTAAGTCCGAATAAAATTTAGAAGCGAACGAACCGATCGATATAAAACTGATGTACGGTGCACGGTGCACTGGTTCCGAGTGAATCAGCGTGTTATTTGTGATCTTTTCTCAAAGATAATTTAAATGAGATCGTTCAAGTTCTCGTCAGAATTCTTTGTGTCTTTGGTAGAGTCGTCGGAATCGGAGATTAAAAGATTAACTATGAAAGTTCGTGAAATTTCGAGCGAAAACGTAGCGAAGTTTTGCGTTTGTTGACGAGTCCTGGTAAATTAGCAGTATCCTTGCAGGTGCAGCGTTCCGTGGAAGAGTTCTGCGGAGATCGGCTGCGACTGTCTAAAAAAAACAAAAGGTGAATTAGTGGTATATTTAAGAGGAAGTTGTTTACGTTTCTGAATCAAAGCTAATGGTAAGTATAGGAGTTGTTATCACGGATACCTAACGTCTTTGGAACATTATCATAAAGCAAGCTTCAAAGGTTTGTGTTAAGGAATGATACGAATTTTGAAGAGTAGAGCGAGATAGAATATAGTTCGTGGAATAAGCAAACACAGACTGTTTGTTTAATAACCTGTTGCTTTTTCTGGTCGTGAACAACCTGATTCTATTTTCTCTACAATGTACCTGTCATAGTAAAAATTTGAAAATTTAATGAAAATTTATTACTTCATGGAGATTATAATTTTATGATATCATTTCTGGTGTTTACGATGAAATTTAGGATAGAGATGTTACGGGAATTCGTCAATTAAGATTTAAATTAGTGAATGCTTATCCCTGCAATCGTCAAAAGTCTTCATTGCCAATATAAACACGTAATTTCAGTTTCTAGAAAATAAAAGAAACATGGCGGAAGGAGACGCGGTAAAATGGTACAACTAGGTAATGTCAATATTTGTAGACCACTTACAGTGGTGACGGATGCACAAAAATTCAGGTCAAAATTAATCAGTCAATTTTGAACAGTTACATCTCGATATTCACATCGAAACATGTTTACTTTGTGTCTACCAAAATTCACCGCTACACAGCAGGAAATGCTCTATAACCTCTGCAAAAATCCAATTCAATTCTCGTCAGAAAACAAAGAAAAGAATCATAGTAAAAAGGAAACCGGAGAAAAATTGCCAGCGAATATCTAGTTCCTCTACTTTCAAGTGCATTATTTATTATTTATTCGTAATAAGGAGCTTTCCTGACTGCGAGTTTAAATATGGTAGAAATTTGTCTCATATGCTGAATATTACAAGTCCTCTAGTTCGGATATTTTACATATTCTATAGACTTCTATATTCTTAACCTTGCTATGGTCTTCGAATTTTCATATTTCAATCTCTCATTTTAGCAAAACGGATTTATAATGTTAATTATTAATATAATATGAAATTTCTCGAAAATGCGTAAATATCTGTAGTACAATCGTAACTTAATATGGCGTATGGATTACGCCATATTTGAGCTACTTGCGACCCGTATAACTAATATTCGCGCAACGAATATCTGGAATACGCCGTACTCGCGCGAGAGAACGACTCGCGTTCACGCGTTCATTCATGATCGTCTATTAGCAGTGCCGAAGGTAATCATGTCCGCTGGGTAATCCGTTACCAGAGACGAGGTCGGCACAAAAACGGGACGAGCAAGCTTTTCGCGCGAAAATAGCGGCTTTCTGATCGAACAGCCATAAAGAAGACCTAAAGAAGGCGTTGTTATTTTCGATATTATTTTCAACCTTACCTACCGCACATTTGTTATTGTTTCTCATCTTGCTCTTTTTCTGACGTCTCTTGCCTGTTCTAAGAAACCACGTAACCATTAATATTCCTCTTTTTGGTAAATTTGTTAATATTTCGCACTGAACTGACTGCAAAAAGTAACGTAACTGAAATAGAAGAGACTTTTGGAACACCCTCTGTGTATTGTATCGTAAATTAATTAGACGACTGCAGCGCCATCCCTTTAGTCTCATTTCAAAAGCCAAAGTACATATACAATATTAAGAAAATTATTTTTATACATATATGTCTATGTATATATAGCAAGATTTCATAAATTTATAAAACAGACGAAGAACTATGTACTTTATCGTTCGCAAAAAAAACATGATTCATCTTGCACCACGAAACTGAGACGCGAAGAACCTTACGTCGAAGCGGCTTATTGTAGCCAGAAGTTATTCCAAACAGACCGCGCGAAATGTAAATAAAAAATGCTGCCAACATTTCTCGCAACACAACGTTTACAGCTTCCGAAGCTCGATGACAAAGAAGCATTTAAAAAATCTGCTTCAATTTCGCGAAACAAAAATACATACACCATACATACATTTACGTATACAGTATACACACATTTGATACATATACGTGCGACATATATAGGTCACCTATTTTTGTTCAACAACGCGCGGACTAGCAGCGGCTGCATGTTTGCGGCGATCGACTTCCGAATTCTTCGCATAATCCGAATCGCCGCCATTACACTCTGGATAGTCGGTTATTTATCGACGAGATTTGTCAGTCGCTGAAAGTCGCAAAGTAGCCGCGATCACGAGCAAAGACGAATACAGTGGGGGCGAACGAGTCGCACTGTATGTCGCGTCTGAAACTGACGAAGTAAATCGAGCGGACATACGCTGTGCGCATGAGAACTCGTCCCATATTTACATCGCGCCAATTTTCACCCGCCAACTGTTAGGCATTAGTCACGGATGAGTGGCAAGTATACGAGAAACGCTGGTGTATCGTGGACATCTTCCTTCGCTCCGGTCAAAGATGATTTTGACAGGCGTCTCTAATTAGTCGAGGCGAATTGTACAGGCCTAAGGCGCGATCAACCAACACCGTTTTAATTTTCATGGCCTCGCGTGCAAGAAAACCACCGATGGCCTGCTAACGTTTTCATTTCCGTTCGACGATTTTGTCGATGCGTCAACCTTCGAACGTGAAATTAGTAACGACGTGGTCACGCAACCTATTCCACTATAGAGTGGGTAGGTAGTATTTACAACGAAAAACTGGTCAAAAGACGATTTTTTAAACTTTCAGGAATAATTGACTCTTAATTGATATTGCTGAGTTATATAGTAGATGACCATTCAGTTTAGGTTAGATTAGAATCAAGTTTCTTAATTTTAGAATATTTAATTTCGATTTATATTCTGTATCTTTCTCAGTGGCTTTGATAGCCTTCATAACTTAGAATACAGAAAACACTTCGTATTAAGTAAACTAAAATTATGTTAATTGAAATCGTTATGGGTTTCTAATCTCATCTACAACCAGACGAGGGTTAAATCCAATTAAGGGTTAGGTATCACGGTCATATGTACATATATAATCACTCACGAAAGAATTTGAACACTTACCACAGAAAACTTCTATGTATGTATAATTTATTATTACAAAGTTGCTCCACCTCCTCATTCTACATCACAGTAATAAATTATCTTAATTAGATATAATTAAATTTTTTAATGCGAACAGGTCACTGTGGGATATTCAGTTCCCTCGACGCGCCTAGTGGCGCTGATCGAAATCGACAACGTTGAGAAAGGTTATGGCGCCGGTACCGAAAGTAACGGTCGCTAATTCGGCCGTGAGTGAATGCCGACCGAAAATACAATATCGAAAAATAGATAAACGTATCCAGAATCGACCGATTCCAGCTGATCGTTTCTCTCTTTTTACAGTTTTCGTATGGTGTTGATGTTTTATTTACGGTCGTGAGCGGTAAATTTGAATTTTTTATACCGGGCGAATGGCTCGTACATTATATTGGCAACGTTTTTGACGTGCGAACCAGATTCGATGTCGTTTATTTTTTCTCGGAAAGAAAAGAGAAATAGGATCCGTATCGCTTGAAATTTTTAAGAAAGCTCAAGATATATTTAGTCACGCGTACTATCAATGAGAATATACACGATGATTAAGAACAATTATCTCATCGCGAGTAGTACGTTTCATGTCACGGGTGCAACGATCTCAGTCTGTTAAACAGCAAGATCAATGAACACGACCGACCGACCGATAACTGCGTACGAGATTACGATTTCGAATTTCGGTGATTAACTTCGTATCGATCGAACTAGATCAATATTTAAAAATGTCGTTTTAAGGAATCCACCATAATATTATTTTTTACACTATGAAAAAGCAATTATTGTAAAATTGACTGCTTTTATTCGAAATGATTATAGAATTTGTTAGTTTTTATAAAACACCATATAAGTAATTAGAAACATTATTATATCATAAATTGATTCATTTCTTGAATCATAAACAAACTTTATCAGTGTCACCTAACCTATTCGTTGCAGACGCTATGAATAAGTAAATTAAAATAAACATTGTTTCAGATTTAGAGACAGCATTAAGAGACTTATATCAAAACCCACGAACAAGCCACTTACCGCATAATTAAACTTACGAATGGAGCGATAGAAAGAGAAAGGTGTGCGCGCTCAAACACGTAAGATAAGAATAGGTGAATGACAATACACCGGGAAAAACTAATTTGGCACGAACAAAGGAAACATAAACAATGCAAATAGCCGTTTGTCAGGCCGGCAACCAGTGTGTAACTTCATTTTTCCGGTTCCACGCTGGTTAATTACCACAAAATCGAACAGGGCAAAAACACGTACTTATCCTGATTTACTTGATTAGAATACACAAGTCAACCGGTTGGATTTGTTCCAAAACGAAGTTGTTCCTTTCAACGGTACAACCATCCGGCCTAATCGGTGTTTTCGAGCATAGGAAATCAAATGCACGCTTAATTCGCATAACCACCACTAAAGATACATGTCTGCGATTCTTTGGACCAACATCGTCCCTTCTTGTCATTGACACCGATAATACTGTTCATTCAACGAACATCGGTGATGAAAATTACTCTGCACTCGCGAACAATGAACTGTCTCGATATAGAAAAAAAGGACGAGTACAAACTCTATATTTAGATTATCTGCATATATTCAAAATTTGTTCGTAATTATTTTTGGTCTAAATAGTTCGTTCGAATTTCGAGAAAAGAACCATAGCTATAGAAACGACAAGCTGGAAGATAAGATGCTGCCGACTCGTGGCAAAGTCTAGCATTCGTTGATTAGATACGAAATTATAAAGGTTCGTGAACTTAACGAACAAAGCGGCGAAATAGAGCTACGGTATCAATCGTTTAAAGAAATCATAAATATTATATTATTATTCTTCTTAATAAGATACAGTACATGTTCTATAGATTTTCAGTGTACAGAAGATATTTTTTGAAAGAAGATTGGCTGCACTGCGACAAAACCGCCCGATTAAGTGTTATTACGAAAGTACGATGTTTATAATACCTACGGTAGGTAAGGTCAGCGTATTGGTGATAAGGTCATTGCAAGAATGACGTACACGTCCTTCGGCTGTTCGTCCTCGAATGTAAAGGAATTAATTTTTAATGAGAAAATATCTGGTTTCATTGAAGCTTACACAAAAAAATTGGCTTACAGTAGCTCACAAAAATATTCAGACACTTGTAAAAACCTTTTATAAGTATATTATGCGTGTTATACGAAACATTTTGAAATTTTATTAGCGCTATAATAAGTCTTGACTATTATGATTATATCAATTATATTATATTACAGTAATAACAAAATTTTAATATGTTTTATATAATATATACATATTTCCTATGGTAGATGTTCAAATTCTTTAGTGAGCCACTATACATTTTCAATTTGACTTTTAAATGTCACAAACAAATTTTGGTGTCAAATATATTGTCGTTCCGCACAGTGAAATTATTATGATAAATAATTTCATGTGAAGCAATATTCGAAAAAGAATATCGATATTCTCCGATCAAGATATTTTCCTACAATAGGGCATTGACGTACGAACAACCTTTGAACGAGAAAACACCGGTTGCAGTGAATGACCCTACGCCCTTGATACTCTCGAAACACGTTCACTCCGTTTGAAACTCACATTTAAAACGAGTACTCGCGCAACGCGAAAGGGAAAATTGAACAGTTGAAATGGTAAATGATGTAAGTGGCAGAAGTGCAGATTTTCAATATAAACAAGAAATGTACTGGTTCAAGATAATGCCGCTAACGATTTTAACTGTACCTTGCCATAACCCTAAAAAGCTAAAACAAATTCTAGCACTTACAACGTTTAAATCTGTATCTAGTATAAAATTTAGTACTATTTGAATTCCTCAATTATCAAATACCGTAAAAGCAGCGATAAAATTAGGTAAATTTAATTTTACTATAATGCATTGCAACATCTTGAGAATTAGTGTTCTTAACACTAGAACCACCATAATGCATAAAATAATCATTTTCTAATTTTTCGCAAATTGCATTTCTGCCGATTCGAATGACTTTTTATAAAATTTTATATGTCTTTAATTTTCGTACTTTAATCGTCGGTAGTTCTAGTGTTAAAGCAGCACATTGCACGTCTCGCCGAATGTTGGTATTCCCACCGATCTCGATAATCATAAGTCAAAGATATTTGAGAATTCGAAAATGCCGTTTCGTCCCGAAATTCCGGACGTGTTTATCGAGATTCGAATATCAGCAGAAGGTTGGTTTCCTGATTTTACAACTTTCCAGCGAAACGAATGAAAAACAGAGAACAGTAACTAAATATGTATGCAGTTTGTGGAAGGTGGTAGTATGAAAGCTACTCACGTAAAAAGCACGAAAAATTCCAGTGCTCCTCTCTGTTATCGCTGCCTGTGATCGAGATGAGTTTCTCGATCATGTAGGGACCCGAAGAAGGAGAAGAAGAACTTTCAGTAGGTCTCGAGTTTGATATTGGTAGTAGCCGGTATCTTCGGCCTCGTCGTCCTCGGCGTCGTCCTCCTCGTAGCTCCTGTCACACATGCACTGTGCATCGGCCACGAACATGCGGCCATTGCGCGGCACGCAGTCAATGAACCCGCATTGCTTTTCAACCGAGAGAGTCTTCGCCTTTTTTTCCCTTCTTAAACCCCGGAACGCACTATCGGCCGGTCTCTATCCGCGGATCTTCGGCCGCACACTCACGACATATATTCCGGTGGCGGTTTTGCACGAGGAACACCCGACCCTCCCGGTGTCACTGGTTCTCTTACCTCTTCCTGCGCCGTGTCGTCGTTATTTCTCTCTCTCCCTCTTTTTCGTATATATGTGTATATGTGTGATACGCGGGTGCGCACGCGCGTGTTTCACGTCTCTCCTCGGTTTCGCACGTGTATATACGTATGTATACGTCGCGACGAAAATCCCTCTCCGTCCCTCTTTTATTTTCTCGTTCTCCCTCTTTCTACCTTCGTACGGTCGTTCAGTGACCCGCTCTCTCTTTCTCTCCCTCTCTATATAACACCAATACACGCGACTACGATTTTTCACCAGTTCTTTTCTCTCTCGTATTACGGCTCACGACTCAAGGGTTGAGAAGCGAATACGACGTATAACCGATAGGTATACGATTTAGATATAGGATACGGGATCGCGATGTTGTACTATGAGCACTCGTATAGACTCTGACTCGTATTGGAGTCTCGTGTCCCCCCCGAAGTTCGACCACAGCTTCACGACGCGACACTCGCGGCGGTCGGATGCAGACTGAATCGGACGCTACGTGCCTCGCTCGTGTATTGCCAGAACGTCCCTCCCCTTATCCACCCTCCCTCTTTTTCACTCGTTCCTCTTTCTCTTCCCCCTATTTACTTCTCTCTTCACGGTGGCTATCAGCTCGTGCCAGACCCCAGGCTCATTTTTACTGGCGACGGCGACGCGCTAACGTACAACTAGAACGGAGGGGAGGCAACTCGCTCGTGAAATTTCAAAATCTTTTTGTTAAACGATGCTTCCTACTTTTCCTATGGATTATGGGCCGACGACATAATGGGCGCATATTTAAATGGTCAAGCTCCGTTACCAAACGACTATCTTTTTTGTTTGACTTCAATCTTTGGCAAATTTCATTAATATGTTTTTTCTTCTTTTCGTTACGAAGATTTGTACATTTAAATTAACTTCTTGAAAGTTTGAATTCAATGAAAAAGTATTTAGGAAAGATATACGTGTTCTTACGCACAATTCAATTGTCTCTCTAATTTTGTTTCTTTTCTTCTCTTTCTTTATGAAAATTTGAAATTTGAATTAAATTTTTGAAAATTTGAGGTAGATGACAGAATATTTAGAAACGGTGTGTGTGATACGATCTCAAGCACAATGAATTTACGTCGAGTAAAACAATGCATAGAATATTTTTAATGACTGCATTTTCTCCATAAATCATTAACCTCCTGAAGAGGGAGAGTTTATATATATATAAATCATATATATATATATATGTGTATAAATAAATGAAATTCTATACATGTTAGACATACCTTCTATATTCAAATCGTGCAACGATGTGTTTAATATATCATAATCATGTAGTAGGATTCGAGTAAATTTGAAAATTAAATTTGCAAGGTTGATAATTTTTTGTTTTATCTCCAAAACTTTATTTTCTGAATATATATTACAAACTTGATATATTTTTACTTATTATAATTAGATAAAACTATAGAAGGAATTATTTTACTAGAATATCTTAGGGGTTCACTTAATTCAGACAATTAAAAAACCAAGTTCCTCCAGCTATTTCGCTATGCTTCAAAGCCATAATTATCATAGTTTGTTAAATCCTATTCAAACTTTATCATGAATATCATCCTCACAATTTTGAATATCAGAATTAGAAAATCCCAATTCCTCGTCTTTTTGAGAAACCAGTTCTATGATAGCACTATGATCAACAAATGATATTAGCGCTTTTTAGAAATACATAAGAAACGAAGGAAATATTAAAACATAAAACTTACTTTAATACATCGCCTTCAAAGCTATTCCAGCATACTGTTCCCGGATGTGTTATTTTATACTCTAACATATTATTGAATTGTTCTTGTAATTTCTGTAATTAAATTATAGATAATTATGCAAATTAAGTACAAATTTTATTTTACAGATACATCTATTTTTATACCTGAATAAGTTGTGCACTTTGCAAATCGCAAGCAAACATTTGATTGTTTGCTAAGCTGATAAAATAGTTTCCTCTTTCTTTTCCTGAAACAATTGAAAGTATTATATACACAATATATATACAATTGTAAATTATATATACACAATATATATTGTATTATATATACGATTAAAAATTATGTAAGCAACAGAAGGCACATACTTATAGACATTTTTGGAGCAGTAAATAATAAAATTGGTGCGCTAACGCATGTAGTATCATGCAAATATATCGCTGTCGAGAGTTGCTTTGTAAAATATGTAATAAATGGGTTGGGATATTCCCTAACTCTATCATTTACACTTGACGGATGTATAGTAACGCTGCCATCTTCTGGAGTCCATGCTCTGGTTCCATTTTTTGTAACTCTCCTGAACATAAAATAAAATTTAAGGTATATTTCCGCTTTCATTATCCTTATTATTGTACTAGAAACTAGACATACCTTATAACAGCAATATTAGGATACAATGCAGCACATACTACTGCTTTCACTAAGGTTATGTTACTGGAGTTCCTGTTAGCATTAATGTCAGCGGGATTTTCTGAGTCCATAAATTTCATTCGACACAAATGTTGAGCAAATTGAGTTTTCATTTCAGAAAGTAGTTTGAGCGTACTAAAAGAGAGGAAATATTCCCTACAAAAAGAACTTGCATAACTTTTTTTATACGCGATCTCGAATCTTCTTAATGCTTCAGATAACGCGATGTGATCGCTAAATTGATTCATATTTAATTCGAGTTTCTTTTTTCGTGCGTCTTCCTCTTTTCCAAGTGGACAGTAAAAAGCATCTTTAAAACTAAGACTCGCCGCGATTGCAAAAACTGGTTCTACACACGAAAATAATGATGCCCATATGATCATTTTCCCTAGTAAGAATAAACAATAAAATGATTATTATATAGACTTATTAATAAAAAATATTAATAAAGATATAAATAATGTAAAATTATATTTAATATATAAGAATAGTACCTGTACGTGGATCTAGAGGTAATTGAGCCAAATGATACCCCAAAGGAGTCAATTGTTCCTCGTCATCCAACGCGTTGAGAGTTCGGAGTAAATCTAAAGATAGATCTATAGCTTTCATATTTGGGGGATCCATAACACTTGCTAAGAAAGTTCTAGCTTTTCCCAATTGTAACATTTTTATTTGTAAAATAACTTCCTCTAAACGCGTCCTTAACATTTCGGGTAAAGGATACTGGTCTAGTGCCATTTCTCTAGCTTTTGAGTACAAATGATAACAGACACCAGGTCTTACTCTAAAAAGAATATAACAAACTATTATTATAATAAATATTTTAAATAACAAGAAAATTTGTTTTTAGGATTTTGTCTTTGAATGTCTTACCTGCCTGCTCTACCTCTTCTTTGTTTAGCATTAGCTAACGATACCCATTCAGGTTCCAAAGTTTGAACATTTTTTTGGAGATCGAATTTACCAAATTTCATTTTTCCGCAATCAACAACATATACTACATCTTCAATAGTTATAGAAGTTTCGGCTATCGAAGTTGCAATTATTATCTTCCGAACTCCTTCAGGTGGTGTTTTAAATACGAGCTTTTGATCGACAGTTGGCATACGAGAATGAAGAGGATAAATAACATACTGATCTACAAACATTAAATAATTTGTTTAAACCAAAATTATGATGAAAATAAGAGTTTTATATTAAGTGCTATATCAAATATACTTACTTTGTGGATACTGTCTATTTTCCAGCATAATTTTATGTAGCTTTATTATATCCATCATACCAGGAAGAAAAACTAAAATAGCTCCAGGATCATTAGTTTTACAAATGTACCTAACTAATTGTTCTATGAGATCAAGAGATAATTTCTCGCTGTTTGGATTCCGTAATTGTTCAATTACTTCTTTTGAATATTTCTTCTATAATGCAATAAATTAAACAAATAAGAGAAAGAATAAATATAGTATAAATAATCATAGAATAAGAATACTTGCCGTAGCTATAAGCTGTCGTACATAAGGATATAGCACATCGTGAAACTCATCCCTTTTTCGTTGTTCCTGTTTATATTTTTTGATATGTTTTCTATGATCTTGAGGTATTGCAGTTGATGCGGGAAATTGATATCTGTAATTCAGTTGTATTATTCAGTTTATTTGTACCGCAATTGTTTACCTATATTGTTTTTATCGAATATGAACTTACTCTGTAAAGGATAGGATGTCCTCTAAATAAAATTCTGTTACTGGATAAGTAAAGCCAGGAATATGAATCATTGGGCAATCATTATAATAACTGGAAAATCTTTCAGAGTTAAGTGTTGCACTCATTAAAATAACTTTCAAATCAGGTCTCTAAAAAATGAATTTTTTTATATAACGGGAATTAATACCATTAAATTTAATCTAGATGTAATTAAACGTACTTTAGGGATAATTAGTTTCAGTAAAGCAAGGATGAAGTCACTTTCAGTAGATCTTTCATGAATTTCATCTAATATAATATGAGAAAATTCTTTTAAGGCTGGATCACCTTGCATAAATTGCAGTAACATTCCAGTAGTACAAAATGTTATGCTGCCTTTATCTCTCGGTAATACTCTACAAATAAAAAACAAACAACACAATCCAACCTTTAGTTGAATTAACAGAAGAAATAAGAAATAACATACTTTTCAAGTCGGATTTGAAAACCAACGGATTTACCAAGCCTTTCTGCTCTCTCAGCTGCAACTCTCTCAGCAACAGATATAGCTGATATCCTCCTAGGTTGAGTACATATAATTCGCACAATGCTACCATTTTCTTGTTCTATTTGATCATCCAATATATACTGAGCAACCTGTGTTGTTTTTCCACAACCTGAAATGCATCTGTATAATAATTGTATGTAATAAACTATTCAAAAAAGCTAGTGAATATGTTATATTAGCAACCTTGCATTATATAAAATCAATTGTATTATTAATATAAACTCTGCAATGAAATACAAAAAACTTACCAGTTTCTCCACTTATTACAATAACCTGATTTTCCTTAATCAAATCTAATATTTTTGATCTTTTATGATATGATGGTAACTTTAATCTGAATTGTTTCATGTTTTCATATTCCTGCGTTGATTGCAATGTCCTATGTTCATTTAATAATTTTTTATCTAGTTCAATATCTCTTTCTAATTTTGATTTAACCAGCAAAGCTCTGGCAAGATTTTCTTGCATATTACCAGATACCATATTCATGAATTTTCTTTTAAATTGGGAGTCACGAATGTGCACATATTTATTTTCTAACACATCATACGTATCCTCAGTGTATGCACTGTTATATAATTTTTCATAATATCCTTTAGAATTGTTTAACACGTGTTCAATTTTTTCTTGAAGATGTTCGGGTAACTTAATACCTCGAGTTTCCTTTTTCTTGGACTTTTGTTTGGCCTTATCTCTATAATAAAGCCCTATTTCTTTGCCTCTCAACCAAGGTGGATGTCCTCCTCCTCTGCCTCGTCCATGGTTGTCACGTTCAAAATGTGACCCTCCTGACTGAGAACTTTCACCTCTATCTCCTAAATATTAATTAAATATAAAATGCAGTGAATATAAAATCCTATTAAAAACTACAGAAAATTATTACATTTAATTGTAACATCTTATTTGTATGTATCAAACCTCAAAAAATCTAACCTCTAAATAATCGACATTGTCATCAAATCTGGGAAAAATAATTAGATATGTTATATATATCAGATGCTATATATTATCAATTTTTTAACTTTAAATGAAATTATACAATATATGGAACATAATTCCAAGAAATAGAGTAATTGCACAAATATAACTATATTGTCATATCTTCAAAATAATTTTATTTACCATATCTATGTCTCGAATACATTCTTTGTGCTGAAAATAGTCCGTAAGGACGGGACATTCTTTTCTAACTAATCGTATGAAATCATTAATGTTACTTGTCCGTTACACATTCTTTTTTAACTACTTAAATATTGACAAATTCGCCGCTCTATTTAGAAACACTATATCCTCAATTTTCACTAAAAGCGACTTTAAAGCTGGTTGATTGGTGCACGCTACATCCAATCAACATTTAGCTTATGTATTTATTAATTTCAAAAAATATCCTCTATTAATTTATATGTCTCGATACATAATTAACTTAACACACAAAAATTATTCTTAAAAGGTTAAATAGAAATTGTTTTATTTCTACCAAGATCTGGTAGTAAACAAAATTAAGGTAATATAAAATTATATTTAAATAAAATAAATGTAGGAAAAAATGTTGGGAAATAAGTTGAATGTCAGATTTTTTTACTATTATTATTATTTCATTGCAATATAAAATCTTAAATAGATACTCTAGTTAACACGTTAATGGCTGGTCTGCCGGATTTTGTTGCGAATATATACTGTGAACATCGTTTACTCAACATCTAGACAAGTACCTATACCAATCTGTAAAGACATGAAAAGTTGAGCAGCGGATCGGCATAAGAAAATGGGAGGCACAGCTCTTTATCGCCATTGATATGTACATGTCTAGTATGTATACATATTATATCGTATACTAAATATATATATATCAGTATTTATCGCCCAGCTTACCATCGCGCGTTATTACATTATCGTATCTATATATATAACACTTTTGACCAATACAATTGCGTATCTTTATGATTGCATTGGGTCTACAAGAAATAACCAATCAGACCCACATTCCTTTGCCTACCCATCTTCTCATCTCTGCATAATATAATAGTATCTAGTGCTACGCATAGTACTTACTATAGTACCTGATAGTACGAAGTTAGTACATGCATACAAGAAATCAGCATGGGTAGCACGGAGGTAACACCGATCCCAAAGAAATTAAACGAAAGCAACGATATCGGTGATGTTTACGGGCCGAACTTAAAAATCCTTCCATGCAATAATCAAGTGAAGGAACTGCAGACTATATTGCGAGACAAGTAAGTAAACCGACGGCGAAAATGATTCGTGTATCGACGTATACAAAGATTTTTTTTTAGCTTTAAAATGCCGGCATGATGCCGGCGCATTGTGTCATTGTGTCGTTTGCCTCCAATTAAACAATTTAATGGACACAATGCATATCCGTTTACAGAAACACCACGAGGAGCGATTTCAAGTTCTACGCCGACCGTCTGGTGAGTCTTGTTTTTCTATTTAATTATATGTTCTGACGCATTGTCATGCATTTTCGAGGTAATATTTATCTGTTTTAAGCACTTACGACTAAAACTGCATGCATCATGAGTGAAACATATGTTTTATAATGAGTAGAAATTTAATAATATTGGTCCCTTTTTCGAGAACAAATCGTTTCGTTAGACGTGGCCATTCCTCCACTGTACGCATCGTGTTTTCATGCTTTCACCGAAAAATATAGTTAATTCTATCTAATGAAATCTATTTTTGTATTTTCTGTAATTAGAGATGATATTAATTTGATATTTTTTCTGTAGAATTTATTACAAGTAATTGAATTGTATCAAATCGATATTTTTATGGTAATAGTATTTTTTAATTTTATGACTTACATATCTATGATAAGTTGGGGATCATGTACACAGCAAATTAAACATTTCTAGATAAGACTAGTGATAGAAGAAAGTTTAAATCAATTACCTTTTTCGAAATGTGTGGTAACTACACCAACTGGTGCCAAATACAATGGTTTGAAGTATCAGAAAGGAAATTGTGGAGTGTCTATAGTAAGAAGCGGAGAAGCCATGGAACAGGTATATTTTATTAATAACGATTTGTAAAAGCTTATTAATTATAATGCATTTTCAGGGTTTAAGAGACTGCTGTCGTAGTATAAGAATTGGAAAAATATTAGTTGAAAGTGATGCAGACACCCACGAAGCCAAAGTAGTTTATGCAAAGTTTCCAGATGATATATCTGAAAGGAAAGTCTTACTTATGTATCCAATAATGAGTAAGTGTAACAGCTTTACATCATACATCTAAGTTCTTTTGTGTACAATATTGTAAAACCAATGATTTATTTTAAATGAAAGGTACTGGGAATACTGTGATAAAAGCAATTGCTGTCCTAAAAGAACATAATGTAATTGAAGAAAATATCATTTTATCAAATTTATTTTGTACACCAATTGCAGCTAAGTCTCTAGTCACTGCCTTCCCTCAGGTGTGTATACTTTCTGATTATAACAGTATCTTATTAGATGCTTTCTTTCTGTACACAAATCATAAGATTATTTCATTAGGCTTTAAACTTTCTTTAAGTTCACTTTAAGCCCAAAAGGCAGATTAGTTGCCGATCCTGAAATCATAAGCTTGATAACAAATATTAACTTTTTAACAGCTTTTAAAAAAGTGAACTGCCTTAAGACATTTTCTACTGAATGTATTAATTAAGTTATTTCGAACTATTTTTATATTGTAAACATATCTTACTTGTTTGAATGAAAATAAATTTTCTTTTACAGATGAAAATTTTAACATCAGAGATTCATAGCATTGCTCCAAATCATTTTGGACAAAAATACTTTGGTACGGATTAATTATATTTTATTAGCATATTATATCATAAGTTAGTATCTACAATAGATGAACTGATAGAAAATCAGGTGCAGAAGGTAACATGTTTCTCTAAAGTATAATCATAAAGCATAATACAGTTTATAGAAAGAAGTCCTACAGGAAAAAAGATATTAATATTTTGTTTATATCATTATCACTGCTAACTTTTGTAAGTTATTTTTGATTTATTGCAAGGAAATATCAAACAGTGTGATCAATTGTGTAATCATAATACATAATTCATCATCATACAAGAAGTACATATTTAAAATAGCAACATCATTTTTTATGTTCTGTTATCATTACACTTCTGACTTGCAAATACCTCCTTAATTTTTTATTTAAATATTTATACATAAAAAAGATGAAAATTCATTAAACATGGTTACTGCATAAGTTTTAGTATAAAAAATCTCCACGCAATTGTTAAAATTGCACATAGTAAAAATGTGCACATTTTGCACAATGTTTAAGTTACTTATCAAAATAGTCAAAGAAAATGCTTTGACTATTACTTACAATTAACTTTATTATTTAATCATTTTCAGTATTGATATCTATTATTACGCTTAAATAGCATATATATAAAATTTTATTAATATACCTAAACAGAAAAAATCAATATAGTACAAGTTATATCTAGAAGAAAAGTGTTTCTTAAAAAGTATTGAGAATTTTACATAGCGTTGGCAATACTGTATTATGTAATTCAAGTTTTGTAAAAGCATTTATCTTGTTTATAATCTTATGTATGTTTTACAAATTAATTTTTATGGTATTGCAGAATGTATAAATATAGATTTTAAAGGTGTGGTACTTTAGAGACACTTTTCATGTATGGTTTTCAATTTGCGATTTATATTCATAATCTTCATAATCTTCAATAATAAAAAACCCCTTTGTTTATTAAATCAATATTCCCGAAATATTGTATAAAAAACGTGAAAGAACGCTTTATGTTTATTCTTCAACTAATACCTGAGTGAATGTATACAAATATGTATGTATTTTGTTCTCATGTATTCAGAGTATATACTTTAAAAACTGTGTATTTATATTTGTATTTAAGAAATCATGTGAACCTTCTGTAGATTGATTTTCTGTTCTTAATGTATAGTTGTAAGTAATATGTTTTATTATTATTTAATTTAGATAAATCAATCATATATAGATTGATTTATCTTCTCTGCATAATATAACAATTACAATCTTTTTTCTATTTTTTGCTCTATATACTGTGAACTATGAACTTCAACAGAACAAGTAATCCCACAGTAAAACATGCATTATATGATGCGCAAAGTGTAATGAAAAATATCTTTTATGTAATTATTTATTAAAATTATAGTTCAGTGATTGTTACAATTTTAATAGCAACAAAAAGTTAATTTTTTAAAGCATATTTTAGGCCAATGTTTTGTGAATTTCACAAAGTATGATTTTGTTACAGAGTAACAATATATAACGTCTTTCAAATGCTATGTAAAAGAATATTAATTTTCTCACAGTTTTTTCATGTTGCTATAAATAGTAACTTATAAAATTTATAAAAATGATATTAATTTATAATGTGAACTATAATATTGGAAATTTTGTATACAACGTAAGTTATTTGATAATTTCCAATAGTTTCATACAATTGTAGCAAAAAAATATAAAATAATGCAGAATATTTCATTATCTGAATGATAAAACAGAATTTTTACTTAATAGTTAAAAATGCAATTTGCATAATAATGTGGTAGTCACTCTACAGGTTTAGATAATTGTTTTGGGATAAATTTGTCGTTAAAGCAATTATATAATTAATAAATAAGGAAATTATAGAAATACTTTGTTTTTAAGTACACGTCTTAAATTGAATTTAATAAGTATTGCAAGATGTATTTAAGTAATGTTATTTATTTATTATTTAAACATCTTGTTCTTCAATTTGTATATAAATAGTATTGTATATCAAGATAGATATGTATTTTATTGTAAACATGGATCATCATGGATCAATGAAATTAATGATATGAGAACATTTAATATCTGCATAACGAAACATGATATTTTGCATCAACAATATGTTTGGCATTAGTATTTCGATTTTCTCCTAATTCTCATTATAATAGTGTCAACTGTTGAGTTTAATTTTGTTTTAATACATGCTAATAGTGTGTGAATAAGTACAAATATTAACATAATATTCAACATAGTACTAAACATAAGTTTTTGAAAACATACACCAAAATGATGTATGACAATGTTACTTACCGATACTAATATGTGATTTCATTTTTCATAAATAGTCACATATACCAAATTAAAATCATTTGTTATAAAATGAAGAACCATTTTTATAATTATTATGTATTACTAAAGTACATACAAATTTTCTAACTATGGAAAATGTTAAAAAAATGTAAATTTATGAAGCTTATCACTACCTATATCACTATCATATTAATCAGATTTTTTGTGTGACTGTTGAATGGTATCTAGAATTGATGATGCAGCTTTTACATGTAATAATCTTTTTTAAAAGTATAATTATTATATTTTATCTTTTATAACTTTTCTTTACTGATTTCATTCTTTTTATTTCTTTTTATTTTTTTGCTCCTTTTTCTATTATGAGACATACAAGGTTTAAACTCTGAAAGTCTGTAGACCCTTCAAAAAACAATTTACCTTGAAACGTGCCTATAAAAAGAGCTGCATTACAGTATCTAGAGCTGTGATTTTAAGAACCATATGTGCATTATATTATATCATTTGAGTGTACACAGATGTCTGTTATTACGAACAATACTTGTACACCTGTTATACTGTAAGTTACCACAGAGTAATTTTCAACGTTTATAGCATTCACAATAAATTTATATTAGTGAAAATATTGTATAATATGTATATCTTGAGAAATATGAATAAAATTTCACAGCAAGTACTAATTACCCAACATAAACAATTTAAAATAAACAAAACTTTACAAAAATGAAACGTGATTTATTTTTTTATTCGTTTGTGAATACAAAGACATACTTTAAAAGCAAATGTTTTAAGGTACATTGCCTTTTATTTTAAATAAAGTGATATCTTTCTATAGCTGAAGTATTCCTTCCTATTACTAAATATTTAAAAAGAATTTGATTTTGTTGAAAAATTTTGTACTTGTTTAAATATTATTTTTAATATTTTTCAACAATTTATGTGTATAAAATTTTATTCATTGTATACAGTTATCTTGTAGATCTTCATAAAAACTTCAAAAACACGACAATTGTTGTTTCCAGGATGTTCTCGTTTCGTCGTAGGGGAGACTACAAACATACAAGGGAAAGATATTTGAAGAATTTGTGTTACGAATATACACATACGTTATGCAGATGTTAGAGTTTAATTTCATTTTTTAACAAATTTCAATTGAAAATAATTACCAAAATGTTAAGGAATATATTTTTTTAATGTAATTATGCCATACGTTTAAAATATTTCTGTAGTCAGTTTATTACATAAAAATAGCTAATTTATCTATTAAACTTGACAAACTTGCTTTCTACATACTCGATGTTTTATTTTCGTATTTATTAACGTTAATGCTAGTCTTTTATTCATTGTTAATATGGAAAACAAATATTTATTTTTAAAAATTAATGCTACGAAGAATACATAAATATATATAAAATTGTTAATACGATAGTTAGATCGATTTTTGAACATCAAATTGACGTGTAACATTACAAAGTATATTAAATTGCTTTTTATTAAAAAGAGAAATATCAGGTTTTATAAAGTTAAAGTAGTTTACTTACCAAAAAACATTCCTAGAATGTATAAATTCAATTAATGGCCAGCTAATGTTGATTAGTGACAGGTACATAGGATAGATTCGTATGATACATTTTCATAGATGACAAAGTTGTATATGTGGAATTATTAGACAAATTTTTAAACTTCTCTATTATGGTATTTATTAGTAAATTTTCATATGTATGTAACAATGATTGGCATGACTTATATATATCATGTATAATGAACATTGTTCTTGTAAATATATATTTTCAATACATATAATGTTAAAATTTATTAACTGTGATGCTCATGTCCAACACCTGTTGCTCGTGAATATATCATTCTCTAATAAGAACGAGGTGGACATTTTGATTCGTATGTGTAAAGCTTTTTAATTTCTCTTTTTTTCCTAGTCTGATTTTAATAGCATATATTTGATATTCAAAAGCTGCGGTACGTTATATTAAAATTAGTCAGGCTTTTTATCTCATGCATAAACATAGTGTAATGAACTTGATACTTTACACCTTCATTTCATAATAAAACAGTTCATAACACTCGCATAAAGCTTTGAATTTGTTCGTGATTAATACCCGTCTATTACCTGATCAGTAAGTGTGTATATCGTAAAACAAACTATGTCAAGCTGTTTGGATGAGTAACACTGCATAAATATATGTAGTCAGTATTAAATTTTTTGTACAAACAATAATGAATAGGCCTTTGATAAAAGGGTTTTAACGTCTCCATTAAACTTTCACTCATTTTTGATCTCATAAGTAAACATTTTCAGCATGAGAAAAGGAAATCAGCTATAAATTACCCTATTCCTGTTTCCAATTATGGAATATCTATGCGAATTAGATTATAAATATAATCGTAACAAATTAAACAAATTTATCAGATATATCACGTGCAACTAAGAAATCTGATGTATATTAAGCCTAACGTTTTTTGGAAGTAATAGCGAGAATTATTTTAAGATGCATTTGACCATAAAAAATTGTTAGTGCATACGACATCATCGGTACAACCTATTATAACTAATTTCGTGTCGTCTTTTATAAGAATTGCATTTCATACAAAACTGAGTGTCGTACTGTCCGAACTTACTACACACTAAGAAATTTCGTACAAAACCAATCAAATGACACTAGTACAATTTAAGACCAAATCATTGTAAATGGAAGCCATTCTTCAGTACAAATGGTAAGTCTACAATTTATAGCTTGGACCACTGATAAATATACAAGGACACTTAATAAACTCTTAAAAACAGTTTAATGTAATTATAAAATGATTAAGAATAATTAATGAATAAGAAATTTGAGACAAAAAAATAAATTTCTAAGTAGGATTTATCTATCTAAAATTCATTGCTATAGTTTTAGCGAGTAACAGGACAAAAAAGCGTTCTCAATACTGAAAATTTATTACTCCTAGCACATTATTAGAGCTTCGTTTAAAAGTAAAGAATAAAATATAATATAAACAATGTAAAATATCAGCATAAGAAATTAAAAAATTTATATTATCTACTGATATGAAGAAAAGTGAAATTCGTTATCTTCTAGTCAGATAAAAAATCTGATGGTGAAAACATGCTCGATTTCAAATATAAAATATTTCTATAAAAGTATCGCTTATGCTTCATTTATACTGTGAACTATATTTTCTGCAGAAAGCAGAAATATTATCTTGGCAGTACCTTCACTCAGCCTTAGAAGTGTGATAAATATAGCTTTTATAAAATATCCTTTTCGGTGGAAAACCAAGGATTTTAAAGAAATATAAAATGTCCCACGATCATATGGGTTTATTTCACATCTACTCTTCTTTCTCTTGATCACCAGATTTCTCTTCATTTTTTTCAACATTTTCTTCTGTATGTTCCGTAGTATCTTCTTCAGGCTTTGTTTCACCATCATTTTCTATAGATTTAGGTTCATCTGACTGTACATTTTCACTTGGTAAAGTTGTTCTTTCTTCAACACTAAGATAACAAATAAAAAATGCAATTAAAATATCTATAATAAAACAATTCTTATTTTTTAAACAATTTGTTATGTATAAATAAAAACAAATAATTTTAATTACACATATTTACAGCTATAGCAATTGTCCAATTTAAACGATTGATCACAAAATTATGCAATCAATATATCTATAGTGCTTACCTTTCTGCTTGTATTGCAGCTGCTTCTTTGTCTGTGGAAGGCTAAAATAAACATGTAGTAGTTAGTATGGACAGGATACAAATTTAGTACCAAGGACAAAACACCGGCAAATGAACATAACTAAGATGTTTACAGATCAAGTTTTTGAATAATGTTAAAAAAATATATACGTATAGATTAAGTAACATATATGGGTACATTTAACATTCTCCTTACAATTGGACCTTACAATTACCAATAATATTTACCTCTCGACTTGTAGTATTTCCATTTTCTTGAATTTCCTCACTTTGATTTGAATCAGGAACATTTTCTTTTCCACTAGCAGGTGGTTCCACTTTCAAAAATTCTTCCAACTCATCCATTTCATTTGCCAAATCAAAATCTTCATAATCCTGTGGGATGATTCATGATAATCATTTATAGTTCAAGCGTGACATTTAGAGAATTTCTAGTTTAAGTTTTAGAATCTTGTATAAGCTACTATTAATTTCTGAAGCTAGATTTTCTTAGCTTTTATCATTATTATTGTTTATTATAACTTAGATTATAAATTGTCAGAATTGATATAATGACATTTACCCCACAGTATTCATCTTCATTAAATATCTGTGGAGGTAATGGATATTTACTATCTCTCGCAATACCATTAGATTGCATAAATTCCTTTTCCATCTCCTTTCCTGGTTCTGTTATATCAATTGTCTCATACTCTACATTTTTGCTATCTAATATCATCAATACTCGTTGTTGCCTCTTTTTTACCTAAAAGAATTCAGTTAAATATAAAGCCTGGATATTTTCTTTACGATCTAAACTTAATTATTAATAAGTAGGCTATGAATGTTTATGCAAATTTATATCTTTATTTCATATACTAATTTTTATCATAAATAAAAAATAGAACTTAAATAAAAATTTATTTCACTTGAATATTTCCTATATTTCATAATGTATACTTTTGCACATTTAAATCTTTCATAAACACATGGACATTAGTAGTCCACTAACAAAAGTAGACAAGTGCAAATTTTAATTTTCATGAATGCAACTAAATAAGTAGAACCTGCGTAGAAAAGTGTTTCATCCACTGAATATTACAGATTATTATACTTTAGATATTATATGTATTTTTACATACTATACGTATTTTGTACGTTTTGCAGTTTCTAATTTTTCATAAATGCATAACAATCCGCAGTCTACTAGTAAAAGACCAAGTTTCGAAAGTTGTAAATGAAACTTCATCTGTTTCAGTCTCTGGTGCAACATGAAGTAAGGTATCGATTTGAACAAAAACGTATGCCGTTATAATCTTATCAGCGACTATTAAAATCTAAAGGTATTACAAATGGTACCGAAAAAATGGGTACAAATTGATCATGGATCGAGATTGAGGTAAAAATCGAGTAAAAGATCAAAGGCACATAAATTCTCCTTACAACGTCAAACGTAAACATTATAGAATCATTCACGACTAAAGTACAAAATATGTATCAAAATAGTTAGAATAATAGATACATAAAAGGAAAGCGAAACAAAAAAAGCAAGCGTTTATTCATTTTACAAAATGTCATTCAGACCTCTGAAACTGCGTCGTTGTAATCTACTAAATATCTACGAACGATTTCAAATAGATTCATTTTAACAATCCTATTGTTAATCCAAAGATTCGATTACCCAAAACCTGTAGCTATATTCCAGGAATACATATCCCTCGGCATTCTGTGCATCTCTTCGTTGCATGTATACATTTCTCACAAAATTACGAGGTACAATTAGTTTTTAACACGTTAATTGCCACGATGGTCATCAATGATCTACGTTACTAAATTTTTGAGGTTAAAATAAATTTCATGAAGAAAATTGTCAACAATGTGAATGACTTTGATAACACTGTCAGAGAGAAAGTGGGCAAATACAACACAATATTCAGCAAAAATTATAGTGTAGTATATTTTAATCCATTACGACTGACAGTGTAAAATATGGACATAAAATTCGTGTGGCAATCGTGTTAACTGAATCTAACATATATATGTTCTTTAATACACCCAATCAAAGGATAACTACATTTCGTTAGACGCGTATATAAATGAATCATTTCGATCGATAAACCGTGTAGTGTGTCACATTCAATAAGGATTTTCACTCGATGACATTATCGGTCGTTAATCGACGCCTCGACCGTGAAGTTTTTCCGACGTAACTCGATCCAACGTGAAAATATCAAATAAGAATTCAGGTGCCCGTAAATCTGGCATTCTCTTCTAAGTCACATACACATATATATAATAGGTCTACACACAGGCACGCACACATTCTCTCTTTCTCGTTACTCGGTCTCGGAGATAAAATATCTTGATATTCTTTGGTTACGTTCTTTTTCCACTCACTTCCTTGTTGCCGCTGATACCCGATATGTAGACTTTAACAACCATCGTTAACCGGTGCTTTTGTTACCAATTGACACTCTCGCGCTTCTATTCGACGTGTGCCACGGTTAGCGGTTTCGCGGAGTGATAAGCGATCAGTGAATCACTATAGACTATTAGCCCGCGGATCGCCAACAGTGAGCAACACTGATTTAACGCGCACGGGTTTGGCTAGTCTTAGTCTGGGATCCACTGGCTACGTCATTTCAGGCCAGTTTTCGAGCGTTCTCAATGTTCGTCTACACGTCACTGTTTCTATTTTTTTTCTTCTTTTTTTTCTGTAGGTGGGGTGCTTGTGACTTGTGATGAATTAAAGATTGCAGAGTAGTGTAGAGTCTACTATTGACCAAACTATGAAGGACACTGAAACAAATAATACTATTTAGGCAGTTATAGGAACGTTCTCATGCACGTCATTGCACAGTGTACACGACGAATCCTTGACCAGCCTTGACAAAGAGACTAGAAACTACTTACTTAGCTCATGAAAGTATCCAAACACTCTTAGAAACTTTTTATGTTTATATTACACGAAACATATTGAAATTATTCATTATATATAAATTACGTATTGGAATTTCGAATATCGTGATTATATTAGTAAAATTTAAAACAGTGTTGGGAATGTTATAAAAATATAAAAGTTATAAGATATTTATTGAAAGCATAAACTTCACAAAAACCACTAAAATATTTAAACAGTTAATTATTTACTGTATTAATAAGCCACAATGTGTAGTGATATTGTTTTTAGCTCTAATTGCATGTTTAAGATTACTATTCATACTGTATACTAATTTTTCACTAAGCATATGTTTGCAATAAATTCCTTGTAACTTCTATATATATTTTCGGACTGGTTCCAAATTTGACTATTATAATCACGATAGTTATGTCTCAGTATAGTGCTAACGAAATTTTAAAAAGTTTCGTACAATACACATAATATATTTATAAAAATCATCTATGGTAAATGTTCGACGTTAATTAAACAACGTTAATTAAACATAACAACGTTAATTAAATATAAGAAAAAATATATTTTTTACGACACATTGTAATTTTATAATGTCACAATATCGAATAATTTTATAATCATTTAAGTAAATAAAAATAAGAACAACTGAGTAAGAAGTACTCTGTAAGACTCTGTATGTAAAACCGTAGTTACTCTGTAAGATCATTCTATCGAACAGAATAAGAACATAATGTAAAAATCGATATAAGACAGACTTCAAAGAGCAATTCAGATTTGTGCAATAAGAATGAGGAATGAAAAAGTTTGAAAATGGCGCGCAGAATAAGAATACAGGTGGCGATATAGAAGGAGAAATGTTTTTTAAAACCGAATTTACATCTTTTCACTCTGCATGATCAACGCAGATGATTCATGGAAAATATATATATATATAATATATATAGTAAAAATATATATATAATATAAAAATTTTTTGGTCACTTGAGATTGTATATCCGCTGTACTTAAACGTATGTTCTTGTATTAGGAGATTTAGACAAAAAGTATTGGCACACATCCTTATTTTTCAATGGAAACATTGAAATTTGTTAGGTTCTGCATTTCATTTTTATAGTATCAAATTTAATTGTCATTACAACTTTTGTAGTTGTATGAGAGTACTACTAAATACGTAATACGAAATTTAATGTACTTTGAACCTATTTAATTAGTAGATGAATACTATAATAAATACAATGGTCTGTCGATACATTTTGTAGCCGCTGTAGGTATTTCGAAAACGATGAAAATGATCGTGATAACTTATTCTAAGTATTCTATTTATTTAAGAGTACGCTCGAGGATGTCTTTGTTTATTTTCTGTAACGCGCGATTTAAATTCGCGCCTTTCGTGAATGCACCATTGCATTACGATTTCCGGTGACGACGTGTAGTGAATTTCGGATTCTAAAGTCTCTTCTCTTTTCCGGTTCTTTTGGAACGTATATCATATTTGTGCAAAATGGTAAGAATTGTTATTTGGTAATATTTTGTGAATCTTGTTAAAATATTGATGAAGTTAATAATTTTGCGTTGAAAAGGATCACCGACAAAATGTTTCTGTATATATTGTTTATCTATTGCAAATAATTTGTGTAGAAATAGTGGTTTGAGGTTATGTTTGCATTTACAGTTAAATCGCTATTTAATTGTCATATTGCAATAAACTTTTAATTATTATGAAATAGAAACAAAATAATGCAATATATTTAATTTCTTTTATAATAAAAGTTTGTCAGAAAGATTAATATTATAAACATGGTTATGGTTGGTTAACCTATTAGTGTCAAACAAGTGTTTTTTTTGTAAATAAATGTTTTATCATTTCAATTGTTGTGATCTGTAAATATATTTAGGCTATAAATGATAAATGTATTTAATGTATGAAATACGATTATGTCTATCTATTAGGCTAAACGCACGAAGAAAGTTGGAATCACTGGTAAATATGGTACTCGATATGGTGCCTCTCTCAGAAAGATGGTTAAGAAAATGGAAATTACCCAACACAGCAAATACACCTGCACTTTCTGTGGCAAGGTGAGAGATAAATCCTATAATCAGAAATGTGAAGTAAATAAAGATTACAATTTCTATTTTATTTCTTTTATTATAGGATGCTATGAAACGGAGTGTAGTGGGTATCTGGTCCTGCAAACGTTGCAAGAGGACTGTTGCTGGAGGTGCATGGGTATATTCAACAACAGCTGCTGCTTCTGTCAGATCTGCTGTCAGGAGGTTACGTGAAGTTAAAGAACAGTAAATAAATGTAATATGTAGTTCATAATGATATTTTGTCCATTTTATTTTAATCCTTTGATTCTTTAATACTACTTAGTTGTAAGATATTAGTTACTAGATTTATTCTGGTAAAGGGATAATATTAAAAAACAAGATTATTTTGTGTTGTATTTAATAGATTCATGACAATTTAACATGATACATAAGACTTAAATTTTTTGAAGCAATATTTGATAATATGAGGGTAGAATTTTTCTTTTTTATTAGAAAGAATATTTAGAAATTATTTTGGAGGCACATCAAAATTATGATATATCTACTTATATTTATGTTTTCATTGTTCTAATAATGTATATTAAATTCCGCTAGAATAATTTTATAATTCTCATAAATTTTTTTCTTTTGGTTATTTGATGAGAACTTTTCATAAAAAAGGAATACATATTATCTCGATTAAATTAACTAATATTTAAAGAAATATGGAATTTAAAAAAAATATATTAAAAGTACTGTTTGTTGAAATTAAATATTATGCACATATATTATTTTAATTCAATAGAACATATAGAATATTTTATTGTCTTTGAAGGTATGTTCATTCTAGTATTTAACTTTATTATAAACGATAGAAAAAGTAGATTTTTTTACTTAAATGGTATTTACATACATATGCATAAATATTCTGATGAAACAGAAAATTTCTTAAAAATAAATTTTATTAATTCGTATGTGTGTGCCAATAAGTAATCTTTAATGTTCCAATGTAATTCTTACAATTATTTTTGTTAATAATATAATTTTTATAAATAATTCTAATTCTAAGCCTAAGATGAAGTAAAATAAAGATGATAAAACAATACGTATAAATTCACGATGCGATGGATAATTTATAAGATTAAAAATTTGTTTACAAATTATTATTGACTTTATCTTTTTTTTTCTATATTTTGTGCACTTACTTGAATTTAACTAAATGTTATCAGTTTAAAAGACTAACAAATTATCTACAAATTCTGCTAATACAATTAAACGCATATTCAAATAATATATTGATTTAATAAAAATTAACTGCTGTACAAAAATAAATACTATCGCCTTGCACGAATAATTAAATATATAATTAAGCTGTAAAGACGCGATAATTTGTTGCACCATCACCATTCTTTCATGTAACTTAAGATTGAGTATATTCCTTGACATTAAGGTTCCTAAATTGAAATTTTAGTGTCATATATATTTTAATATATTATAAATGTAGTTTAATGCGTTTCTTCGCGCGCGCGCGTTTAAAGTTATAGAATCAGTTAATTTCTTCCCCCAGCTTTGAATGTAAGTATAACTATTAGCGAACATTTTCCAGAAACATTGCTTTACTTTGTTGACTACCTTTCCTCTTCTTTCAAAGTACGAAAGATGTTTAATTTTAGTTTAATGTAATGCAAGGGAAGGGCGCCAGAATCTAATAACAACATTTTTACATTAGTTACACGAAATGTTTTTCCGTTATGTCTTATTGGATAAGAATATTGCACTCTAAATTTTTAGCACGCTTTAAATATGCAGAAAACAAAAATGGTCCAAATCTATGAAGAATTATAGCTATGTAAAATGTTAGAACATCATAAAGATATCTAGCATTTCTTTTTGTTAAGAAAATGCGGAAGACATTTTGTCTTGAATTTAAGAAAGTATTTAAAGTATAACAGTATAGTGAATAACAGACAATAGTAGTTTTTTTATACTCTTAAACGATATCTCGTTAATCTCATATTGCTATGGCGAATTCAGGTATAAGTACATTTATCTTTTTAAACGAATAAAAAGAAAGTAACAACTAAATTATATATGAACGAGATGCAACAAGGAACTGTTAGAAATATCAGTATAAAAAGATCCAGTGCTCTTCCCTAATTGCTAGAAAATTGTACAATACAAGTTCTAAATCGTAATCGGTAGTGTCACAATAATTCCACTAGCATTCCATCATTCATTCCCTGTAGTAATACGTCATTTATACTATTAACATATCTGTGTTTCAGTGCACTGATATATCTTCCAGTCATCCAGCATTGCACTCATCCCATATTATCAAATATGTCTCTCTTTTGTATTAACAATTATTTATTTATAACAATGGTCTGATATGCTTTCCTCTCTACTGTTTACTAGAAAAGAAAAAAAAGAAGAATGTCCGCATACATGTCTCTTTGTATCACTTGTGTATATCCATACACAGTCGGAAATAGGTTTCTTTCTTTCAACACTTGTGCATTTATCAATGAAGGCATACCATGAAAAATGACAGTAAATACACGATACTGTTAGTAACAGTAAATAAATCCTATATAACTAAAAAGCATCAACCTCAATCTCTCAGTTTCAAGGTGTAATCAATTTCTTGTTTATGATCACTATTAATCCCATCGACGTTTAATAGATCGACAAAACGTGATACTGAATTGTTTTTATGAAGTACAATACTAGTGCTTCTCCTTGATTTTTCAATGTATGGAAGTCTCTTGAGTATCAGTCCTTCAATGTAGTATTAAATAAATCAACAAGTATTACATATAAATGTTGCACTTGTAAACACCTCGTATTAGCTAGCTTGCCATTTGAATTTACTGCGCATAATCCACTTTTGGCCGATGTTATGCGGATCACAAGGTGCTAATACAGGTTGCATAGCGTCGTTTGAACGAGGTTTCGACAAGCAATGTCCTGTATTAGTATGTTTGATCATTTTTGTCTAAAAAATAAACGTATATTTTATTGAAATATCATTACTTTTTTAAAAAAATTGCGTTTAAATTATTTACATCATACCTCTTCGTTATAAACCCATGCTTGATTTCCACCCATACCATGACATCTCACTATTTTGACAGGACCTTGGGGACTAGCTGCATCAAGGCACATATCATCAGACATAATTTGCTGTCGTTTAGTATAAGCAAACACCTAATTAAAACAAAAAATTATATTTCAACAATACTGAAAAATCTACTACGTTCAAAGAAATCAAGAAGATTTAGTTACTGACCTGATTACCACCTAATCCATGACAGTAACTAATTCCAACATTTTCACCTGTTCTCCTACCCATAGTGTCCAAACAAGATTGTGTCTCAACGTTTTGTACATCACCCAAATAATAATAATCTAGTGGCATAGGAGATTCTGGATAAATATTCTCCAAATACCACCTAAAGCTTTTACACTTAAGACGTTCCCTTAACTTAATTCTTTCAGATACATCTCCAACAGCTACGTTTCGGGCTCCTATGAACAGAAGGAACAATTGAATAATAATAATAATATTTGCTTAATATTTACAAACTTTATAATGCGATAGTGTGCTTATACATATAACTGTTCACTGAAAGACGGATGTGTGTTAAAAGTATGTGCCAAAATAAAGACATTGCCACGTGTGCTGTACTGATGCTATATGCTTGCTATTGGAAATAATTGTGCTATCATACATTGACCTTTCTTAACATGTTAAATTTGAAAAAGTAAGTCTGTACCTCTTTCAAGATAAAATGTAAGGAAACTTTAGATCGAATAGAGTAATATCTTCACTGTGTCTTTTATTTTCTATTATAACCCTCTTTCTTGAGATTACATCTATTATATAGAGCATTTTCTTGCTTTAGAGATGGACGAAACAAAAAGGAACTTCTCCATTAGTTTCCTAATATTAACGGGTATCTGATATATGCGCATGTAGCTGGTATCCAACTGCACTTAAGCTTTATAGTTAAATGCAACTTATAAAAGCGTACCAATCACCCGATAGAAAAAAGTTCATGCGAGATAGAGATAGAATCCCAAAAAGAAAAAAGAAAGTTTAAGATGATGTTAGCGATATTGCAGTCTATTCTCTTTCCAGAAATGCTGGTGTTAGTGCTACCTGGATTAATGTTGTAATAGAAGTACTTCCATTGGTCCAACCAGACCTCTGCGAGTCGCGCATTGTTGTGGTTCACTATCTTGCTGGTACCACCAGGGAATGTATATGGTGTTGACTTACGGAATACATGACCGACGTGCGAGCACGTTGCGATCTCCAATGTCCCACCACACATCCATATCTAACCAACTCAGTTCTGTTAGTATGTTAGCAATTACAAATGGATAGTTTATAAACAAACAAGAAACAAAAAGATCTAATACATTAAAAAGGTTCAGATTAGATGGACGCTCGTGTTCTCCTCTCTTGGTACCTATAATATCGTTGCTTATAAAATGTATCAAACAAAGAAGCAAGCAAACTTATTTTGTTAGTCGGCTGGATGGATGAGTGGTTAAGACTATACCAAAATATATTTGTAAATCCACAAACAAATCAACAGTATTCCTGCAAATTAAATCTCATGGCTAAATGTAACTAGAATATCCAGAATTCTTTAACACACACACGCGCGTACACACGCGCGTACACACACGCACGCACGCACGCACGCACGCACACACACAGAGAAAAAAAATATATTATATATTTAGATAAAAATATGTGATATACATTTATGTTAATATAAAATTGGATGGTAAATGCTAAAAGATAATTTGGTTAATATCACACTAAAAAGAAAAAAAAACACACTTGAGATTAATTTTAGAGTCAAATATAAATCAACTACATATAGCTATGGGTGTTAATATTTCTAATGTATAGACCGTTACTAGCTATAAAGATATTTACGAAATTATTTTGATACGCTAGATTAATACTCTATCGAATGTTTTATTCGAAGTAAATAAAAAAGTGTGCTATAATACAACGTTTTTATCTGAATAATATTATAGCATTGGTTGTATCAGATACCCGTCAAGTACATGTAAATGCTCGCAATCTTACTTTTTAATTAAGTTATACATACTAATGTATTTTATGTAACTTTTAGTTTATACAATTTTTTTAGCATGTGATGGCAAACGTTAAACTTACAATTGTTCTTACTTTCTTTATCTTTCTTACAGTACATTATCGTTGTTATATATTTTCGTTTGTAGATAATTAAAAGAAAGAAAAATGCACACTTCTCTACAGCAAAACTCGAGGAGGCTTAACAAATTGACTATCAATTGGCTAGCTATAATTAACTGTCTATTAATTGATACTTGAATTAAGAAAGAAAACAAAGTATACAAATGAAATGATACACGCTGTTATCTAACCTGGGTTCATGGCATAGTAAAAATCTCTCCACTCATCCATCCAGACTTCGGCCACCCTAGCCGCATTGTGTAGAACTACTTTGCTGACACCACCAGGGAATGTATACGGACTCTTGTCTCGGAACACATGTCCAACATGTGAACATGGACTGATTTCTAACGTCCCACCGCATTGCCATACCTACAAGGTACTTATGACTTCACAAATGAAGATGAAAATGTCCATAGCTAAACCCCCTGTGTATTTTGGGATCACAAACTCAAACGTTTCACTAGATTATTTAATAAATAAATCCAATGTGTGTAACAAACGGTGTTGGGCAAAATCTTTTCACGATAATTTATTATAAAGAAACGAGAAATTTTAATTGCAAGTAACAAATCAAAATTATCCGATCGAATAGATATTTATCCGGATTAGACTTTATTCGATTACGAATTTGATCGAATTGTTATTATTAAATTAGTTATAGTAATCACTGCGGCGATGAGAAGTTAGTGCTATTTAAATAATATCAATAATAATACCCAGCAATTAATTAAGTATGCGTGAAACGCGAGAGACGCTCACAAAATTAAGTGGGGGGGGGGCAAAAACAATTAACGATTATTTGTATTATGATTTGAATAATTTTACAATAATTATTCTGTTAATTATGTCAATAAATGATAATGAAACGGAGAAGATAATTTGTTATGGATATAATGAACAAGTTTTATCCGGATGAATTATTCGATGAAATGGAATTAATAATATTCGGATAATTATTTTAGACAAAGCGCCCAATTCTGATCAAAATTATCGATTACTTTTAACTCTAGAGCTTTCAAGGAGCCTTTGTATTTTTAATTTCTTCAAATTCTCGTGTTAATTATCGAATAAAAAAGTTCTGCCACACAAGAGAGGATCGAACAAACAGCTACAGATAGATAACAGAGAAAGGAAAGTTTTTCATCGAGCCAATAGCATTAAGAACGAGCAATTAGCTGTGAAAGCAAATGATAAAAAAAAAAAAAAAGAAACGATTTATATATATAAATTATTAACTATTATTTTACTGCTATTATTATTTATTTTATTAATTAACTAGATGTGAATTTGAATAGCACACGCACGTATTCCATGACCAAAACACTTTTATTTATTCGCGTTTTATAACTTCATTTTCATTTAAATAGTCTGACCGCATAAAGTAAATACTGTCATCGATCAATACTCACCCGGAAGCTCATTTCGAGGTTTTCACCGCCCCAAATATCCATGCCCTCGTCGTACGCTCCCAATTCGTAAAAATAATCCTTATCAATAGAAAATAAACCGCCGGCCATCGTCGGTGTTCTCAGAGGGGCTGTTCTATCCCCTAATCTTCTGTCCATTTCTCTTTGCGCCACCCTGTACCTTGAAGATTAACGAAACTTCGCGTTAGTAAATGAATTAAAAAATTCAATCTATCGGTAGAAAATATTGTCATGAAGATGACAATAAAGGCTTGTGGAACAAAGGCTAGTCTTTTCTTTTTACAGTTAAGAATTAAAGGTAATCTGAAAAATAATCCGCATAGCCTGAATCATTAGAATTACAATTTTTGGGTATCGTCTCGTAGTAAGTAAGCTGTTTAACAAACAAATGTAAAACAAATATAGGAGATAATTTTAAAAAGATAAAATACATAGGAATTATATAGAAATAGTGGCCTTGCTTTAGATATAAAGTTGAACATAATCTAATGTAGTTCGAGTCATTAGAACTTTAATTTTTAGAAATCGTTCGACATTAAATTGTTTATTAAACAAGCATGAAACGAATATAACAAATAGCCATGTAATGATGTACAGACATGAACTCAAGTGATTATGACCTCGGCTCTTGGAAATTGTCACAGTCACAGTCTTCAGCCACAGAACTTTGTTCACAAAGTCAATCGAGTGGTCCTTACCATCTAAAATTCAGTTTCCAATTGAAACCACCCCACGTCATATCGCTGGCCGGAATGTACTCAAAGGTATCGTCGCTAATCACATCAATGATGGGACAGACAACGGTTGTCCTGTCTTCAGCGATCCTGGATAGCAAAGGCTCCAGCCAACCTTCTGTGCATTCGCAATGAGCGTCTAGGAACGTTATAACTTGTCCTGTCACGTGTTTCGCTCCAAGGAGCCTAGCTCTGATCAGACCAGATCTTTTCTCTGTACGGTACACATATGTAGGGACCGGTAACGTTTTTACATAGTCCTCCAAGTCTTGCTTCAAGTGATCTACGAATCGAGTGCATGGCGTGAGCAAAAAAGCGTAGAGAAGTGAAAGCAATGTTTACTAGATCACAATGACTGAATATTGAAAAATAATACATCCATTGCGGCAGTAGGAACTGGTTGACTTGACAATAATTAAATTCTATGTAATGCTACGTTTCCCTGCTACTTTCACATTCTAGACATTTGGTGTGAATGTTTATTGTGAATCATTTGGGTTGAGTTTCTAATGTTAGAAATCAGTAGAAGGATCGAGTATTTGAAAGTAGAATGTGAAAGAAAAGCGTGCAATCGTCCAAGATTTTGAGAATGTTTACACAATTTGCTTAGACCGAATGAAAGATATTTTAAAATATAGAAAAAAGAAAGAAATAGAATGGCAATTATATAAATAAGAAAGCATATAGAAAAGTATCTTAGAATCTATAAGATATATATATAGAATATATAATCCCTTTCACTTCTTCAAAGAAAGCGAAACAAAAATATCTAACACGATGCTAAACTTAAAAATGCTGTTATATTCCTTAACCAACGTATACACGTTAACCTTAGATTTACCCACCAATGGAATGGTTTCTCTACTGGAGAAGCGCACGAATACAAAACCTCATGAACTCATTCAAAACCGCACCCATCTATTCAGACCACTCCCAAGACCAGACCATCCCAGTTCCTCTACCACCAACCATTCTCAGGCTCACCTTGCTCGCTCTTATCATCTACCAATATGATCTCCTTTAACAATGTACGCGGAGACCGATTAATGACCGACCAAACAGTCCTCAACAACGTGCTCCATGCTTCATTGTGGAACACTATCACGATGCTAGTATCCGGCAGGTACTTGTTGTACTTCTTGGTCTTGCAGCCCTCTAATCGAATATCCTTGAGTGACCGATTCAACGAGATCATATCGCTGGCCATCAGGTTGAATTGGTTCAGTTTGAACAGCTCCTGTTGCCTGGCCTCGTCTTCCGGCGAAATGTGTACCGCCGCACCCACCTCGCCAGGCATCCCTTTGTTCTCTCGGACGACCTTAGCTGGCCTCCATAAATGTAATTCCGATTGTTTGTATCGGCTTTTGCTCGCTTGTCCAGCCGACTGTATCTGTTCCTCTTCTTTCATTAAGGCTTCTTTCGAATGAGGTAAATTTTCTTCGGTTAACGTTTGCTGTTGTTTGTTATTCTCCGTGCAACCCCATCCGGACCCTCCGATGCAATCCGAATAGTGCATCAGCACCATCACGTCCACCAGGAACCATACCAGCGACGTGAGCAGTATCACTCGACACGTGTGAATGCGAATTTTAGAGCGGAACATGTTGTGTCGGGGG